TTCAAATTTCGTACATCTTTATAAGCAACATAATCATCATGAAATTTCGATAGATCGATCATTTTCAGATCATTTTTTGATAAGAAATTGTTCTCGACCAATTTCTCAGGCGAAATCAACCACCAGTGACCGCCAAATGCTGACATTCCTAAAAAAAAAAAAGACGATATCTATCCATTGCGACGAATATATATTCTCAACATAAACAAAATTCTAGATCTTTTAATGAAAATAAAAACAAGTCTCTAATTGTGATAACTAATTTTACACAAACGGAGTAATAAAATTGAAAGAATGCATATTCCCGTACAAACATTAGGAAGAAATTTCCTATAGAACTGTAAAAAGTCTAAGAATTGTAATAAAAAGAGTTTTGAAAAATTTTCTATGTATCACAGGAAACGAAATGTTCATCGACCTCTGTTTGATTTCAATTTCTCTATACTATTCTTAATGACTGCAATTGGCTAATAAATGTTGGAGTCTAAATCAATTTTTACCAATAAAAAGCAAGAAAATGAAAAGAAAATTCATTCACATTCTTTAGAACTTCTTCATGCTGAAAATTTAACTTCAAAGATCGAGAATTTTTTTATGTAGATGAAGTTAGCATCACACTCAAGTAAAATCGGCTCAAATTCGTCCAGATATCTATTCCAAGTACAAATCGATGAGCTCCATCCAATAGTATGCTCGTGCTAACTTCATCGACGTAATTTTTTTTTTCGTTGCACCGAAATAAATCTTTTTTTCGTGTATTGAATGACATTTCAATTTTGACGCAGTTCCATTTTAGCCTGTCTTACGCTGCCTAGAATAATGACTATGAGAATAATTATCACTCGAAATGCATTTGCAATCGAACCACTGTTGTCATCTAATTTGAAGCACAATCGAATAAATGTTAAGTGGTATTTTAGAAAAAAAAAAAGAAAAGAAAGTACTAGTCTATCTATGCTAACCTGAATATGGTGATGGTGACTGCGTTGGTGTGATTGGTAAAATTTGCCAAATTTTTTGTCGTGTTTCCACCAAGAAATCAATAAATTTGTACGCTTGTGGACCAAAATCACCAATACCGTATGAAGATGGTAACGACGATATGTGGACTAATATACCGGATGATCGTTCGATTTCCATTGTTTTTTTTTTTGTTGATCAGAATAATGTGACGATGTCCATCACAATGCTTATCGAAATAACAACAGATACGTTTTGTAAATGAGATAGAATTCTAGAATAGAATATCTTTCTTTTTTCTAGAGAAATTCAAGTTTTAGCTATAATTTTGTCAAGTGAATAGAAAAACAAATAAACAATGTCATTCTGTATTATGTTACAACATTGCTCATATGAACTTTCACCTCATCGGTGAAATATTCGCTCGGTGACAATACTTAATTAGTCGCATACACTCTCAACACGGATTGAAGAAGAAAATATACAGCAACAACTGTTCATATATCGATGGTCACGAAGAGAAAAGATAAATCATGCAGAATATCGGTTAATGCAAGAGAGAGAGAAGCCAGAACAAACACAGAGAAGAAGAAGACAAGATGGAGAGAACAGAAAGTGCATATCCTAACACATTCTGTTGTGATCTGTAATAATGATAATAATAAAAAAAAAGAAAAAAAATTTGAAATTGAAAATAAGAAATAAACTTTCGCAGTATGTCTATTTACCTATTCATCAACCAATTTGATCATTGCAGATATTGTCATTGGATATACATATATATATAGATAGATAGATGAATATTGAATAGCCAAATCATTTTTGATTAATTCTGGAATCGGTAGCCATATTCTCGGATTGTCTTCCATCACATTAAGTAGAATTTGTCGAGTTATGATCGATCGTGTTTGACGAGATACAACTAATTTAAAATAAAATTAATCCATACAGGATCGTTTCACACGCAAAGTTCACTATAACTATAACGAGAAGGTGTTCATTTTTTTTTTTGCCTATGTAATTATTACGTTCTAAATGATATGTGTATCTGTTAAAAATAACGCAACCGTGGTTTTGTGAGAGAAATAAATAGCTGCTCTCTTACTTTTTCGTTACATTCTGTTCAAGTCACAGAGTACAAAACGTTTCTCTTGCATAACCTAACGATTGGGACAGGAACGAAAGAAGAAATATTTCTTCTATGGAAGAGAACAAAATTGCACTCATTGATCTTTTCTATGACCTGTCTTTAGTGCATATATGTATTCCATAGAAACACACAGAAAAGTTATGTTTTCTCAACTGGCATAATGTCTTGTTGTTCAAATGCATGTACAAGTGCTTAGAAAGATTTTATGATCAATAGAACAATGTGACGAGAACATTTATGTAAAAAAAAAACTTAAAAAAGATGGATTACTGCTGTCTTTTAGTGAAACGAATGGCTCCTAAGGACGAACAATCCAAGGATCGACTCTGATGATTTTCGATATCTTTCTGTCAGTATTTTAGGAAATCTCGGTCCAAGAATTTCGATCGAATGTTGTTAGATGTCGAATTCTGACAATTTTCGACAGAAAAAAAACCGTTAGAAATCATCGAATTCGGTTGGAACCATCGTTCAATAATTCATTGATATCCTCATCTATCACATGCTCTTCATTCAGTAATCAAAGATATCTCGATACTCTACTCCATGGTTGTCTTTGCTCTATCGAATGGACCTGATCTGGTGCTAAAAACGAACCATTCTTCAAAATCTCCAAAGCAAGCACCAAAAACGAAGAAAATCATATGACACTAAAAAAATATCTTCTATCCTATGTTCTCATTAAAGACATTGCCAAGTTAATCATAGACTAATTGAACCTGATATTATATGATGAATAGATGACCTAAAAAGAGAAAAATTCAGTTGAGATAAAAAGAAAAGAATTATTTATCTATCTTGAAATCGAGATATTGTCGAGATCATCGATTATTGATATTGTTAACTGAACAGACGACCTAACCGAAAGATATTCAGTTAAGATCAAAGAAAAGAATTTTTTACATGTCTGAACAACGAGATATCGTCGCTTGAATAGACGAACTAAAAAAAGAATAACTCAGTTATGAGACAAAACAAACAATGATAAGAGAATGCACAAACAATCACAAGCTACGTGCTACATGTACTTTAGCAAAATTTCTCAAACATGCGTTAATTAACGAGAGTGAATAGCGATCAAAACAAGCTATGGTGAAGCTCCAACGATATACCATAGAGGTAGACTGAAGTAGATAGAACTGTAGCTTGCAAAAGATTAGTATGGACGTGCTGGAGGATTCACATGACCCAGTGAGTACAATGACGAGGGGTGTGGGTATAGGAGAAGAGAAGAGTTCATATCAAATTTACACCCACACTCTCAATAAAAACGACCCATAAAAGAGATGAAGTCTGAAAAAAGACTTTTGATGGGAAATCCTTGAAAGAGACCCTTGCCATAGAATTCTTGTGGAAAACTTTCTAGTTGAAAAACTAGAAAATCATACATTGTTCTATGTAATTTTGTGAAACATGATTGAAACTGCGTGTTGATATTTTAGAGCGAGAAATTCGACCACGTCCCACAGAGCATGACAAACATGTTGTATTCTATTATGGTTTTTTGAACTACGATATTATGGATGTGCGAGTCGTGAACTGCTGGGTTTCAACAATGAAAAACGGTTACCGTAATCTGTCATCCCGAATTACAGGACGTTTTTTCGCTAGCAAACAGTCATCGTTTTCTGCACCATTCTCACCGTATTCTAGGATGACGCAAAATGGCCGCGTCATAATACCGAAGTTCGTCATTTTGTGCCGTTTCTTTGGATCTGGGTGTTGTGAAAAACAGAAAAAAAGAAGATGATTATTCAACAACGCACAGAAATATTAGCAGCAGGATTTGATGATGTGAAAATGTACTTGATGAGAAGTTCTTCTCTTTTGTTCTACGGAATAACTTCAAAGATGTGAAAATAAAAGCGTACAATGACGAAATACTGTTCAGCATTTCATCTTTTTTCTTGTTAAATTTTGAAATTCACTTTTTACAAACACTTATAATAGCATACAAACAATATTAAAAAAAATATATAAACAAAATCTTGTAAACAGTGAATCGTCAGAATAGATTTGCATTTAACATTCATGTACCACTGGACGTCCTCGTTTCGAACATGTGAAAATACATGATTTTTCTGACTCGAGCAAAATACTTCTTTTAACGAAAGAGATTTTTTTTAAATAAAAACTTCATCAGAACAACAACGTTACCACATGACGGTGTCTAATATCTATAGATAGATAAAAGCAGTTAGATCTAATTCTTATTGTTGAGTAAAGATTAGAGAAAGAAAAATAACTGAATATTTCAAATAACAGAATTATGAAAATAGTTTTGTTGTTTGATTATTTTCATTCGAACTATAGTATATGACGTAATTAATATTTCACCTTCATTTACATATGAAGATAAGTTTTCAATATGTAGAGTAGTACGTCGATGTTTGATTTGGTATTTATACATAAACTATTGTTTAATTACTTTTTCATTAGCATTAAATCGATCTATCTAATCGCTTTCTTTTCGTTCTAATTCCTGTCGACATAAAGACCATGTAACAATTTTTTCATTAATTAATGATGATACAAAGGATTTTGTCATTAATAAATAGTTAACTTACGAGAGTAATGCTATAATATATCTTCGTTCACTTTGATATTGTGTAGCAGCACCACCTACTAGTTTCGTATTGTGAAGTTTATAAAAGTTAGTTTTAGCTGTATAAGCTTTGATAATTCATATTGGATCTTGTTCATCAGTTACTTTATGAAAAAAAACGTTTGATCTTTTCGATCTCATTAAAATGAGTAAAACCTTTGCCAATGTAATTCTTTTTAATTTTTTCAAACATTTTATCAATAGATGTAAATCCATTAGTATTGTCATAGAAAGATTTAGTAATATGTCATTTTTGTGCAGCATATTCAAAAATATCATTATCAATTAATTCTCATTCGATGGCACCCGTGGTTGATATGAATCTATTGCAAGTCGATATACGAAAGACAAGTTGTTTGTTTCATTATTCTTGCCTTCATCAAATGATAAACAATTATATTTATTAGATATAGCTCTATCCGCTGCTGCTTCCAGTAATAATTTAACGATTTCTTGATGGCTATGGAAACATGCAACATGTAATGTCGTACTACCATTTGGTTCGATTCTGTCCATTTCATCAAGTTTTATAGTTTTAAGTAATCTTTTAACTTCTTCAATATTACTATTACGACATGTTAAATAAACAGCACTACATTTGTTAGATGATGTCACTGTTGATGCTGTTATTACTATTGAGTTTTCAATTTCATTAGTTATTGTTAATCTATCTGGAGGAATGCCTTTCGGATGGCCTGCTGCTGAACGATAAAGACTGTATTTATTCTTTCAATGCTTACTTACAAATATTTCTAAACTTTTAAACCACCTAAATACATTTCCCATACCGAAGCAATAATCTTTTGATGTCTAGTATTGATAGTCTATAAAATAAAATAATCAAAAGTTGAGTACTAAAAAACTTTTAATTTCTTTTATTGTACGGAAACTTATTTTCTTTCCTGGAGACAAGTGTTCTTTTTTGTAATTTATCCTTTCTCTTAAACATCAAATTTTGATACAGACTTTATCGACCTGCTCAAATTAACGTACACGAAATTCTCGGATAGCCTGTCAAATATTCCGAGTGCGATACTTACATGCTACTTCTGACATTTTTCTTATTTTTATTTGAGATGATTGAAATATTAAAAAAAAACGATGAATCCTATCTTATTTTCTTAGACACAAGCAAGTTTGTTTGGCACTTCGTATCAGTCATGATGAAGACAAATAAAGTTTGATTGATAGACACATCTTCTTTTCGTTCTTCCTTGCGAAAAAGATAAGACGTTTGCATAGGATGTACCCAAACAAGATTCTCACTAATAAAGTCTGCTGAATATGCAAAGCGTTGATTAATATTGATTTTATATATACCAAACAAGGACAATTAACAAAAACATTGATTAATTATAGAAAAGCATTAGAAATTCAATTAAAATGTCCTCCCATGTCATTCAAACCGCTCGAAAACCAACTGTTAACTACGGTTCGCCAGCTGATGTTTTTTTTGCGTTGCAATATATCAAATTTTTTTACTCTTACAAAATTGACAAATTTTGGTCGAAATCACATTCTCTCTATATTGTCGATACACTGAAGCCGCCTGTATCAGCTATATCACTCATATTCGCATAGTTTTCGAGTTTGAGTTTTTATTAAAGATGGCGACATCAGACAGAATTTACTGTTGCATGATCAAGTCGGTTTCTTAAAGATAGACTCGACTTTTTCAAGACTAAACATATTAATTCAGTAACAAAAAAAATGATAAATGAAGGAAAATCGAGTCCAACTGTCGACTATGATAAAAAATCGACGACATGAGCTAGTCTAGAACCTGAAAATCTTGCAATCCCGTACAATAACATTGAGTGTATATATTTAAGACAAGATGAATATGAATTAGCATTCTTCAATGCAAACAAAGCTCTTCAATACTGTCCCAAAACTCACAAATTACTTGCAGCTATCTATGATATATTGGTTGAATTATCTTTGAAAGGTGTGGGTGTGGAATGTGCGCGTGGGATGTGTGCGTGTGGGTGTTCGTTGTTATTTATCCATACTCTTCTTTTTTTTTTGATGATTTATTTCTATTAGACCTTTGTATGGTGTGCGATGGAACGAAAAAACTATCCCATGAAATGAGTCGTTTAGTAAAAAGACACTTTGAAGTCTTAGCTTAATTCAACGCGACTAAAATTCTTTTGTTTTTTAGCGTCCTTTGCAAGTATGCAACGACCTTAAACAAACACTGTCATTCTCACTTTTCATTAATGTTATCGTGATGTAAACCAAAGTGACGTCACAATGAAGATGAAATTATGAGTTTTTCATATTCCGCATGAGATACGAGATAAGATCTTTTGTGGTATCATCGTTCTTCTTCTCATTTTTCACTTCATACAACATTACACAACGCGTTCGTACATTTACAAATAACTGAAGATGAAACTAGTTTTTGCTTTTCTGATACTTGTTATCAGTTTGGTAAGGGGTGCTGATAGGACGCATGCTAATGCTCAAATGTTCCTCGTGGGAACAAATGATTTTATTGGAACAGTTAACTTTTACGAGGAGGAAGAAGCTTGGAGTGTTGTCATTTCTGGTTCTGTTAATCGTTTGCGACCTCTGGCAAAATTAGTAAGTGTATTGTTTTACTTTAATTGGTCAATAATTTGAAGAGAAATCATGAGGCAAATCTAACTTCACAAAAAAAGGTCGTGGTTTCAGACTTCTACGTAACAACATTTAAAAAGTTTGGCAATACTGTCAAACCAGTTTCAACTCTTCCTTGACACGAGATTATTTCGAAAGTTTTATCTCGAGAAATTGCGAGGAAAGATTTCACATTAGCATAATAATTATTTTCAAAGGTAAACGAAAAATGACTCGCCACTGTTGACTTAGAACTTCTCGTAGAACAAATCTCTTATTCTCATATGTTCATTGTGAATCAAAACTTTTTCATAAAAACCATAGAAAGCTTCCAACCTATCGAATATCATCATATGTGGTGGTGTTGGCTATAAGAAATCTGGAGTTCATCGATACCTTTAAATCTGCAAATCTTCATGTCTGGCAATTCGAGATATAATCTAAGACTTCTCCTGACGACAGCTTGCAATAGGCTATGTTTTTATCAGGGTTTTCATATCCATTCTCAACCCATTGGAGACAATCATAATTGTACAGCTGGTGGTGCCCATTACAATCCCTACAGTAAGTTCAATTCTTTACAATAGAGCAATGATTATTACACTTAATCTATCATGATAGATGCATCTCACGGAATGCCTGAAGATCCACTTATGCAACGGCACGTCGGTGATCTCGGCAACGTTGACACCAATGCCGATGGTAGAGCCTATATAGGATTAGTTGATCACATCATTTCGCTTAGATCTAATGACACACGAAATGTTATTGGTTTACCTCTTATGATCCACAATTTGACTGATGATGGGGGTCATACTGGTAAGGGCGAAAGTAACACCACTGGGTAAGTGTGCATAAAGTGACGTGTCATTTTCCTCTATTGACATGTTCATCACATTTATAGAAATGCCGGTCCTCGAATAGCATGTGGAACAATACATCTTGGTTAAATAATGTCTTTTCATACGTTTAAGTTTCAATTGTTCTATCAGTTTACCAAAGTTTTCTTTTCTAAAATTTATATTTCTCTTGATAAAACAGCAGAATATATTTTAAAACATGTGAGGACCAGGAGAATGAGTCTCGAAAGAAGAATATTATCCTCGTCCTCACAATTTCGCGCCAATCCACTTTCACTACTCATTGGATAAGGCATTACCACCTGGTGAAGATAATTTAATAAGATGATTATCTGCGAAAAAACAAAAGATGACTTTGAATCATACATTTTTTTTCTTCCCCATTGACTCATCTTGATCAGATCATTATATCTCTTATAATCAGGTGGGAGTGATTATGAGTGTGATTGACAAGAAGAGTAACATCCATACCCACACCCATACTTCGATTGGTTTCAATATAACATAGTGATGTACAAAACAAAAAAAAAAATATAATAGTATTCTATGAACTCTTCTGTTTTTTTTTCTCTTCTATAGAAATTTTGCACTGATTGACCTTGATGTGTATGTTTCTTTTTTGGTCGGTCTCTCATACAACACAAGACATGTTGATATGTGCAAAACAAAAAAATCAATAAAAAAAACATAATTTCGTGTTAAAATAGTCTTTTGAACCAAAACAACAACTATGGTTCCTATTTGTTAATAAAGGAAAAGGAATTATGTTGCTAAATTATTGATATAATTGTATTACAAAAAAAGAAGTTAGTTTAATTCTTGTTTAATTTGTTCAACAAGTGTTTTAACTTTATCTCTATTTTCAAATATTTTTTTCTCGACAATTGGATGTTCAGGATTAGCTACTTTAGTAAGATACCATGGGACAATTGATTCAAGGAAATCATAGAGATTTTGTAGAAGTGTAAAACGAGATATTGTTCTTGGAGTTGGAATAGTATGATTTTCAAGTTGATCAAAAAGATAATTTTTTAATTGCTTATCATATACAATTGGTTTATATGAATGAAAATATTCTTCTGATACTGGATAAGATCCAGCCCATTCCCAATCAATAATTCCTGTTATTTTATAATTATCATTTACAGTTAAATTTTGAAGTCCAAGGTCATAATGTGTAAATACATTTGGAAGATCATTAAATTCTGGAAGATTTAATTTTTGAAATTCTTTAATTGATTTCATAACATCATCACGAACTGGATCAAATATATTTTCTTCATTTAAAGTTTTTATTTTTAGTTCTAACTGATCGTAAAAAAATTCTCTATAATTGTTCCATGGACCTTGAAGATTACTATCGTGTCCAATTTGTCCATTACTTTTATAGTTTCTAATTTTATTTGAAGAAGGTATACGAGAATGCAATTGAGTTACATATTCAACAAGTTCATCAAAAATTAATTTTTGTTTTTCAATAGATAATTTTGGCCAAATATCACTTTCAGTTGTAGAAGTTCTAAGTGGTTTTCCTGGAGTACGTGTCATAATAATTCATTCTACTCCAAATCCATTATTTTTATCGGATGTATATGCCATAATTTTAGGAATTGGAAGTGTTGTATATTTAGTAATTTGTATCATTGCAGCAACTTCTGATTCTGTTTTAATTTTTTCCCAAGCATGACCACAAATTTTTAAAACATATTTTTGATCATCATTTTCACATTCAATAAAGAAAAGAAGATTATTTAAACCTTCTTCAGTAGATTCGAATGAACTTATTTTCTTGTTAAATAATGATTAAAAAGTTTTTCAGCTTGTTCACGTGTAAATGACATTCCTTGAGTTGGACCATTTCGTCGAAATTCTTTTAGACCTGATGACATTATTAACTATTTTAGATTAACAAATAAATGGAAATCGCGTATCTCTTTTCTTTTTTCTTCTCTAACAGAACAGACCAGAAAAAAAAACTCGATTGACTTATATTCATCTATTTTTTTATATATGAAGTAGGGAATAGATGTCATTACTCGTTTGACATTATTCTTATGAACATGAACTATGAATACTCTTTTATCAATGGTAAAAATATCAGCTCATTCCGTCAAAATATTGCGGAGATGTTCAAATTTTTCTTTGTTTAGTTACTTTCTAGACATTCTATATAGGACAAAAAAAGCTTAGATGATCAAAGTTGACATGAACATCAATATGGCAGTACAGTGTGTGTTTTTTTTTTCATTACTGTTTGGTTGCTGATTTCTAGGCGAAAAAAGCTTTTGTTTTTACTTGAAAAAAGAAAACAGTAAGATCTAACTCTTTGAATAGAAAGTTTAGCGGAAAAGAAAAGAATGATCTTTGTTTTTTTTTTGAATTTAATGTTGTTCTAAAGATAAATTGTATTCCTGATCTATTGATATATTTCTATTGAATTGAAAATATAAAAAAAACAATTTATTTTAATTCTTGTTTAATTTATTCAACAAATATTTTGATTTTATATCTATTTTGAAATAATTCTTTTTGAACAGTTGGATATACAGGATTAGCTATACAATGACATTTGCTAATGTCTATATATTAGAATGAGAACAACCATTAGTAGCATTACAATTAAATCAAAGAGAATTGTATGACAGGTGAGATTATGCATGTACATAGAGCATTTTCTAAGATATATTTATTGTATGTTATTGTTATAGATACATTGATGATATGAATAAATAGCAAAATTATTGTACTATCCTGCAAAAAAAATCGAGGAATAAAAAAATTTTCGATTTTGAAAACGTTGATTAGTGCTTTCTGTAGTACTATATGAGAGAACAATATGAATAAATTTTCCCGACTATCACTATCAAATTGGCCGAGATACGAGAGTTTTTCTAAAAATACTGTTTAAATTTAAGGTCAAATGATTTGGATAGTACATTCGATAGTTGAATTTTAGATCTTAAAATTGATTCATTTCTTTTTCGATAAGGAACCATGTTCAATGTAGAAGTAGCGACTGAAACAGCGTGATTTGACCTAAACGATATGTGGTTTTTACACTATGCAGTGATAAAATTTGTAAATAAGCAGCCAATCAAAGAATGTATATAATTTGTCACCTTTTTTTTTGTGAATTTATTAACGTTTGAGGGTGGGGTATGATTGTGGGTGGATGTGAGGGATGCACGGATTAACTACCACCCACACCCAACCATACCCACACCCTTTCTTTCTCAATGATTAACAAAGAAAAACTTTTTCTAAAAGAAGAAATGTTATTTGAAATATTGTCTATTTTATGGGAACAATTGAGAGATAAAATGAATATTGACTTAAGATAAAGACTCGGAATTTGATTTGAAAAGTTCAAACAAAAGATTTATCTACTATAGAAAAACAATATAGGATTTAATCATCTCGAATAAATGCTTTTGTGGAACTCATATATATTTTCGAAGAAAATAGTGAGTGTAAGTTTTAAGTCGCAGCTTTGGCGGCTTCCCTCCCTCCCCCGTCTCCATTACAGACAGGTTCCCATTACAGACCTTAGCAATTAAGAATAATAGGCGTAAGACTTTCTAGTTTTTTCCAAAAAATTGATCAAGTTATAATTTTGAAAGATAATCAACATCATTGTTTGTGAGCTGATTAATATATATAATAGTGCGTAAGATCTTCTGTAGATATCATGGATATGTAAAACAGATTTATTTGCCAATTAATTCAATGATTATAATAATAAGAATGTTGAATTACGAAAAACGATTTTAAAAAAACTGAAAGATAATGAGTGAATAGCAACAATGCAAAATAAAAATAGGGCACTCTCAAAGAAAAAAAAATTGTGTTTTGAATGTAGAAATAAATAAGTCTCGCTGTTGTCATTGATTATCAATGAAAACAACTACAGTGTGCACGAAATTTTTCAATTTACATATGATGTATTAGAATATTAAGGTTTGAGGATATATGTGAGTTCCACATTTCAGCTCCAAAGGAGCTGCGTTAACAAGCTTTTATATCTATCCAAAAATTTCGTTTTGTTAACTGATAGAGAATTTGGTAAAAATTGCTTTTTTAGAATATATTTTGCATGAGAAGGACAATCAATAAAATGCCTTTCCATTTCTATTGACAATCAAATATTTCAATTGAAGAATTCTTGTTTCTTTTTATTACAAATTAAGTTTTCTGCTGATAATAATAAGCGCATTATTATGACATTAGAGAATGAATAGATGATATTTTTCATTTCTTGAAACAATAAATCGAGAATAAACATTTTTTTCATCAAATCGATTTTCTTTTTTAAAATATATTCATTAGTTTCGAAATACATTAACACAAATCTACAGAATACGTTTAGACTTATTATTAATATGATTGTCAAATATGGAAGATACATAGAAAATCATCTCTTTTTTCTCGAGAATAATAACATTTTTTTTTTGTTCTAAACCAAGTTCAATAAGATTTGAGAATTGATGAAAATATTCCAAATGACTAATGAAAAACAATATGTCGAAGAACATCATGAGAAAATTAAAATTTTTTTCTTTCAGTTGAAATTCTTTCTACCAACAATGAATAAACTATTATTTAAAATGATAAAGATTTATTTTTCAAAGTTCTCTTCAGAAAAAAAATCTTTATTTAAAAGATATTTCGATTAATTATTAAAGTAAAATCCTAATTGAATTAAATAATATTTCAAATAATTTAATCTTAATCAAAAGAAATTAAAGAATTTTATTTGAATAAAGACGATTCTATCATCAGATGATAAAGAAATATTTATTCAAATGAATATATTTCACTATCGATTCCAAACATTAATATATATATACATTGTTTTTTTCTAGTGGAAATCACTTTTTCCAACATAAAATGATAATATTCAGTATCAAAATTTACCTTTAATTTCTCATATTATTATCGTAGATGTTCTCGGTCAATAAACACTGAATATTATTCTATAGGATCTGTTATTGTATCTAGTCATTAAATCGTCTTCGTAACAACAATGGTAAGGTCATTTATTTATTGTTCATTGGGAACAGATGGATAAAAATGTATCTAGAGAATATCTAAGATGAAATAAACAAATAGACACGGCAAGAAATGTTTCTTTTGCTCACTGAATAAGTATCACTTTCTTCTCATAACCAATATGTATATCATTCCTTCAACAAAAAGCTCTCTTGAACTCTTGAAATCGGAATATATGATATTTGAAATAAATCGACTAAAAATATTTTCAATCAGAAAGAAAAAGATTTGTTAAACGATAATGTAAAGTTTTTATTGATAGATAAGTGGTATGATATCAGACTCTAGATCGCTGACACTTTATTATCAGATTATATAGATTTGATTGATACTTTTGAGTCTATCAATTCTATCCTACCAATTAGATATAAAAAAATCATTCTAAATTTAATTTATAATCGAATGAAATACTTTCTATTACTGGGTAAGTTTTTGTAAACATGTCTTTTAGATCGAAAACTTTTTGCTTGTACTGCACTCTGAAATTTTTTTCGAAGTAGCTATTGGCAACATGTTAAAAATCCAAGAACCTTTGTTTTCCCAGTTCGACAATGTGTTTATTTCGAAATAAATTTGAACTATTGTTCAAAATTTCGTTTGTTTTTTTCATTGGATGATTTATGTTGGACAAAGCAGCCAAGCTACGACGTATAGAAAGCAATCAGACACGCAAATGAATCATAAAAAGTTCAAGATCATTCGACAGAGAACATAATAAACGAATCATAGCGTTAGAAGAATATAAGCAGATATAATTCCTTTCTCTTAGTGCCGATTAGCTGATCATAGCAGCAAGTTCGACGGACATTGTTGAATTCGATTATAAATAGCAACATTCCACGAACGAACATTAAAAATATGTCGGATTATCTGAGTACATTACCTGTTGAATTGATTGACAAGATTTTTGACAACATTTCCACTTTTGATATTCTCTCTTCGGTATCTTTGGTCAATAAACGCCTTCGTTCCGTATCGCTTTTCTATTCTCATTTTCAATTCGACTTCAATTTGGTATCCAAAAAGAAGAATCAATTCGATATATTTTGTAATCAATTGTCTAATTTTCCATCTCGTATTGTATCATTGACATTTGACGATGGTTTATTAGTAAACCATAAGATCCAAATTTTTTTACGTTCAATTACTTCCAATTATAGGTTTCTAAATTTGCATTCGATCAGTCTTCATAGAATCTGTGCAAATACATGGAACTCGATTAGAATTCGTCTTTCATTGTTCGTATCGCTAAAATCAATGTCTATCGCTTCTGTTTATGATGGTGAAAGTTCAACAATTGCCTTAACATCTCTCATTTTCAATGATCTCTTATTCAATGTTCAATCGCTCACACGTCTTTATCTCAATACATCACCTGGTTTCTTGACGAATATGATAAACATTACGTCTGCATGTTCAATACAAACATCGAATATTGAATCTCTCACACTAGAAGGCATTCAAATTAATTTATATAAGCTTTTTCCAATGGTACCAATGCTAATCAAACTCAATGTATTAGTTGATTAAATTTTTCATCATGACCTACTTCTTCAATCTCCTATGAATTTACGACAATTATCGATCGACATTAGACATTCAACTATGTTCGAAATGGAATGTTTGCTTTCGCCGATGACTTGTCTTACGCATCTTTCTCTTCATATCTATGGCGTTCGCAGTGATATGACAGATGGTAATGCCTGGATACCATTATTAAGAAAATTAGTGGTATTCAAGTTCTTATTTTATATTGTCAGTCTAGAAGCGATCAATCTTGATTCATTTCGAACTCAATTCTGGATCGAAGAGAAAAAATGGTATGTTACCTATGATCGATGGGACGATTGTAATTCATCACTTCTCTATACAAACCCATACTGTGGTAAACATTGGATTCGATCTTCATATGCAACGGCGAGACTTGTAACAGAATCAACTGGATTAGAACCTACAACATTTCCACATGTCAACTATCTCTCTATAAACAATATATCAGAAATAGACGATGTACTTTGGACTCAATTTACACGTCTTAATCACTTAGTTATTGAACAAAATCTAAATACTGTATTCGAATACATTGCTACACGTCTTGATTTATCGCATTTAACTAGTTTTTCTTGTAATCGAGCGGATATTGAAATACCAATCAATGACTTTGTAAGAATACTTCATAGTTTACCACAACTACGCTCACTCAGCTTACCTATATCGATTCTTCTCTTCCTTTTTGATCGTAAATGGCCTAGAATTGTCGACCTCAATATAATGAGTCCGTATCCATTTCCATTTGTGCCATTAATATCCATCCAGATTGATTCACTCTGGCATTCGTTTAATCGTTTGGAAACAATGACATTTTGTCGTGAAACTTTTCAAGATGTGGCACGATTATTCGATAACAGAGCAATTACACTATCAACTGTAATGATTCGTCACTCTGATCATTTGGCTGATTATGATCCTCGATTGATCACATATGAATGGCTTGATAAGAACACAAAATTACGTCAATTTGATTATTTTTGTAACGATGCACATATTGTTTTCATGTGGATCTAGATTCATCCTTTGTTTCACGTGTAAAAACAAACTTCCAAATTTTAATATAATTGAGAATGTGAGTAGGTATGAGTGCGAAAAGAGAAGAACCACACCCACATCCATTCTTAAACAGTCTATATTTTATTAAAAATCATCTATCTTGAAATAAATGTAATTGAAAGTATGATTATTACTCTTTTAGTTTCTATTTAAAAATAATTATTTTCGATATAACTATTTATAATAGAAAGCATTCTTCTAAAAGCTTGTCGTATTAGGTGCTGACTAATGATAGATTCAATAGGTTGATATTATTTTCTGAAACAAATATTAGTTGTATCTCTAATCCGAAGGCTAATTTAATGCATAGTTCTCACATCATGCTGTCAATGCAAAAGTAATAATGTTTCTATAAAATTACAGTATATCTAGTGATTCACGATCGACATGACCTGTCACTAATCAGTATTAATTGAACGATCATTAGAGAAGTACATTTTTTAATAATTTTCAATATATGAAAAATTTTTCTCAAAGAAATCACAAACCAAATTGCAATAGAATACACATGCGTGGTAGAATTTCCAGTTTGTTATTATTCTTTAAATTTTGACATAACTTATAGTATATTTCTTTTCCTAAATGCTACTTCTCCTGCTGTTTTATCTTTTTAATATTTGAAAATAACCACTTAGTTATAACTGTGTAACAGAGACTAATTTTCTAGTTGAAAATAATCAATCAACTTTCTGTTTGAAGTACAAGATATGAAATACGGTCAGCAGTAAGTCTAATTGTTTGATAAGCCAATGCAGAGCGATTTCATAACATTTATATGTGTATCACATATAACAGAATAAAATTCAATGTTAAAATTTCGATTTTAATATATTCAAGGATTTGCTCCCTTATCCAAAAAAGTCGCAATCGTGTACGTACGATCTTGGTTCCCGAAGAACTAATTTATATTTTTGTTTATTTATTTCTAGATAGCGATGGCGGACCATTTGATTCAAATGATACTCAGAAAATACTTTAATTTAATATTTTTTTTAATTTCATTTATACAACGGAAAAAGATTAAGTATTGTAAATACAACATTTTTCAGCATTGTGTTTCATGAATGGGAACATCAACATCATTATTGTTGATTTATCTCACTATAAACATAGTTATGATTTAAATGAATTGATCTTATTAATTTCTCAGCTCTGAACTTTAGTGTATATGTGTTGTTATTAGGTTGAAGGAGTCATGGAAATATTTCGTGTAAGCATATAGCCACTATCAAAAAAGATAACAATTGTTAATCGTCTTTTATTTAATCGAAAGATGATGATGCAGTACCTTTGCTTATTTCACTGTTAATCTATGTATAGGATCTGCTTTCGAGGAAAATACCCCAGCTGATTTTTAAATTTTCATCTGATATTTTGTCTATAAACAAGTCTTGACCGGGCAAAGAAAAACTTGAAATCGTTTATGTTCATCACCTATCGGTGAACAGTTAGAAATTATTTTACCGAATTTCAGTCTCGAATACGAACGATTTTCGTGTATCATTTTAAAAGCAACGAATGATTCAGATGGTATCATAAGTCTCCTTACTGTAGTTGACAAATGATTTTCAAATAATAACAATTCTTCTTATTTTATATATTGAAGTTTTTCATTATTAAATATCAGGTAATATTTGTAAAGTTGATGTCTATACTTTCTTTTTTGTTTTAAATAAAAATTAATAGATAAAAATAAAATCCGTTCAAAAAATCTTATCTAATGCCACACTACTATGTAGTTTACCTGGAAACAACATTATTAAATGTCTACTTCGAATAATATTATCCAATCTTTATATATTTTTTATTTGGATTAATTATAACGGCAAATATTTTAATAATGTACAAAATATATAAAAACAAGTAGGAATCTATTTTTCCTATGTTATTCCTCATCAACAATCATTTATTTAAAAAAGACAAAAATGAAATTTACTTTGTAATTATTTACTTTTGCTTCATCTCTTTTGTGATTGTATGAATACCATTTCATATTATTTTCATCGGATATCTTTTACTAGAAAAAAAAACAAAATAGAAAACTAGGTGCAGTGTGAAAAGTTCCAAACTTTGTATACGAAAGCTTATTGCAATCAATTTCAAAAAAAGAAAAATGATCTGCGATCGATTTTTTGCGCAGTTGACATTTGATTGCTTCAAATTTCGTCTATTTTGAAAATAAGAAATGTTATTATAAGAAAAGCGATCTTATGTGAATTTTAGAGCGTTTCATGCTGTATATTGTGGTTTAGTTTTTTTTAATGAAAGATATGAAGGAGTCAAAATGTGAAACGCAATTCTTTTGGGTCATCCATTATCTTTTTTTTTTGTTTTAATAAACTTTGCGAATATGAATAAAATTGAATAAATATTTGATTTACTTGAGAATAAAAGAAAATATGGAAACAAATGCAGAAACTTCGGATTTAAATCCAAGAGTTATGTGTACTTCAAAAAGTGAATTAGATAGATAAGTCATTCTAGAATGTGTGGACATCAAAATTATTCTGGCAAACCTTTTCTATTAATACTTGATTTCTATTGGCTACTCCTCAACCAATAGAGTTTCGAGATGAGTACAACTCAGACTTCCACTCTTCGCCTTGAATAACTCTAAGAAAGTAGTTCTTCCTATAACTTGATTTCGATGGGTCTCTGCTCAACCAATGGGATTTCGAGGAAAATGAAGTACAGATTCGAGTTCTCCACCCCAGAAAACTTCGAAGTATCCTCTCCGTGATCGGAAAATAGAGCTCTAATTGTGGATCAATTAGAGCATGGGTAAAAATAGAACCAATTTCCGTTTAATTATCTTTGCATTAGGTGAGTTAGCCTTCTTTTTTCTTTATATTTTATATACCAATTTGTAGCTCGTGAAATTCTCTATCGAATGATATATAATAGTTGAGGGTTTTATTTGACTACCATAGGAAAAGTTTCTTACGAAAGCGGGGATAGGTCGATCTTCACATAGGAAAGCATAGGGAAAAATGACTATTTTTCCAATAACTCAACAACGGCTCGGCCAATCCTGCTCATCTTCGAACTCGACCGAGATATTGTTGAGACTAAGCTGTGTAGAAAATTTCATTGCGATCGGACTCTCCTTTCAAAAGTTATCGTATCAACGGCCGGACACACTTTCCGATTCTAGAGTGTACTCACTTTTTGAGTACACAAAAAGCCTATTTTTTTTGCATATATATTTGACCATATCTCGAGAGGAAAGAGCCATGGGCACGAACGTTTTTAGGGTTTTCTTAGTCTCACTAAGACCTATTTATAGCCAAAAGATCGAGTTAAAAGCTTTTAAACAGTTGGGGTACTTCACTCATCAGCAGATTATAATGGTTCTTTTAACTCTGTGAGTCAGAATTCACTTTATTTTGTATCTTATTGATTTAGAACATCATCATCATTGAGTATTTGAAAGTTTTAAAAGCTATGACCATTGACAGGATTTCAAGAAGCCCCACTAGTAATGACTACGACCATATGCACCCACATTTCCGATCTATATCTTCCATTATACTCCGCATAGTTGTCAACTTTGAAAGCTCCTAAATATTTACCAGTTGCCAACGTTTTTGCACTGTAGATCGTTCTCGCTGAACCCTTATCATAACGAACATCCATCCACCCATTAGAATCAGTTGTGAAATAAGCCTACAATTCGATTCTATGCATTTTACCTCTTGGATCTTCATCTGTAATTCGTTTAATGATTGGATTAGGACTAATGTCGGAATAAATAGACAGCTTGACTCCTTTCCCTGGCCATAACATTCAAAAGAAGATTGGTTTTCATGGAGCATTGGAAATTTGTTCCATAGCTTGTCTAATTATACTAGCTTAACTGCCAGGATTGTTAGAAAAGAGAGTGTGGGTGTTGTCTCTTTCCACCCACACCCCCTAATATGCGCTTGTTGGATATTGAAAGAACCCTTTTCTTTTCCAAAAGAAACTCGGCAATAAACATTGTTATGTATGTTGTACTTTGAAGCATTTTAAAACGTTTAATTGTGTCGAATTGGCCGATATCAACACAGTGAAACAAAAAATGCATCATCTTATCGGCAACGAGAAAGCACAAAAGTGTTTTATCTCAATTAGTAAATATGACCAGATAAATAACAAGTAACGCGACGCAAACGCCGCTAACCCTCTACTGAAAGGATGTGATTTCCTTGAACATATGGCACTGACGAAGAAGAAGACCACTGAACTAGTGTGCTGCTATGCATCTATAAAAAGATAAATAGTTCTCGTCACCGTGGCCCGCTTGCTAATTGATTGGATTTGATTTAACCATCGTGGGGTGTGAATGTGAAGAGTGGGTGTGGAGTGTGGGGTGTGGATGTAGAGTGTGGATGTAGAGTGTGGGTGCGGGGTGTGGGGTGTGGGTGTGGGCGTATGTCTTCACTTCATCCATACTCAGACATATCCCACACCCACCCACCCACCCATACCCCACAATGGTTAAATCAAATCCAATCAATTAGCAAGCGAGCCATGGTGACGAGAACTATTTATCTTTTTATAGATGCATAGCAGCACATTAGTTCTGTGGTCTTCTTCGTGAGTACCATATCTTCAAGGAAATCACATCCTTTCAGTAGAGGGTTAGCGGCGTTTGCGTCGCGTTACTTGTATAGTAGCATTAACTACCACACATCACTAAAACTCACACAAAATACCCAAGAATACTGCCCCAGCAGGTGCTCCAACCATACTCAGATCTAAACTGTCAGTTTCAAACACAAACCCAGTGCCTACACTGGAAAAAAAAGGTGTAGTACCGAACCAAAAAAGGTATCGTAGACGAAAAAAAGGTTTCGTACATAGTACGGAACTTAAAAAGGTTTAGAATTCGT